CGTTCCGATGAGGAGCGGGGTTATGGTGGCTTTATTGGGTTTTCCATGGGTTTTTCCAGCTATTCTGAGGTCAGATCCAGTTTTTCCCTGAATTTTCCCTGGGCTTTTCCCTCCATCCATCCCAATGTCAAATTTGGTTCTTCCCTGGTTTTTCCCTCTGTCCCATACTCAGATTTTGTTGTTCCCCGAGTTTTTCTCTGGGCTTTCCCACCATTCCATGCTTGGATCATGGATACCATGGACATAATGGATTCATGGATTACATGGATATCATGGATATGGCATCTGGTGGTTCTGGTGGGATTGGGATTAGGATTGGGATCGGGATTGGGATTGGATCTGGCATTATCCTGCTGCTCCCCATCCCTGCCAGCCGTGTCCCATGGGAATGTTGGTTTGCCTGGGATTGGGAATGGTCGCTGGTCCCTGACGTGTCCGGGAATTTTGGGACATCCCTGTGGTGACCGCGGGGTCTGGATTTGGATTCAGAGGATTCTGTTGGAATTCTGTGGAATCCTGGAATGGGAAGGATCCTAAAGCTGATGCAATTCCACCCCATTCCAAGGGCAGGGACACCTCCCACCATCCCAGGTCGCTCCAACCTGGCCTTGGAATTTGGGAAGCTTGGGAATTTGGGATGTGCCCGAGGCAGATCCAGAATGGGATGCGGAGGCATTGGTCAAAAATAGCGTGGGATTTTAAATATTCACAAAATTCCCTGGAACAGCTCTGCCCAACTCCTTTTCCAAACTTCCTGAGGATTCCTGGACCTGACTCCGTAATTCCCAACCTTTTGCAGGGAAAATATCCCTAGGAAAGAGCATTTTGCTCTGTTATTTCCAGGTTTTTCCAGGGATAGAGGGATCACTGAATTCATTCCATGGAGCTGGGACAGGAGAAATTCCCAGGTTTGCAATCTGAACAGTTCAAGTTGGGAAAAAACCTTGGGAAGTTTTAATTCCCAACCAAAAGTCCTTCACTCCATGGCAAGGGATATCCATGATTACCGGAGTCCTCTCACATTTTCCTGGAAAAATCCTGGAGATAAAAAATGGATTCTGGGGCAGGTTTTCCAGAGAATATCAGGAATATTTAGTGTTGTCCCGGTTTTTTATTCCAAGGGAGGTTTTCCAGCCCCTTTCCCTTCTCTTTCCCTTCTCTTTTCCTGCTGCAAAACTGCGCCCAGAATTCCAGGGGATCCCTCAGCCATTCCCAGGAGCAGCAGGGCTGGGCCAGCAGAACTTTTCCATGTGTTTTTTCCAGGTTTTTTCCAGGTTTTAGCTGGATCCCTCCTCCCTCTCTCCCTCCCTCCCTCCTGGCCGTGACTCTGACTCATTCCCCACGTGCCAGAGCCTCCGGAGCCTCCGCGCTCTTCCCAATCCCACTCCAACACCACGAGTTCCCCATCCAGCTCCTCGTGCTGGGATCATCCCTCCGGATGTTTCATTCCTCACGTTCATCCCAGCCTCATTCCCAGTTTTTGGAGCCCTCTGGATCTGGGATCCATCCTGGTTTTCCTGCTCAGCTCCCGGCGCATCCTGGGTATTCCCGTTTTTGGGAAGGGACGCTTTGGAGCAGGGAATCATCTCCTGGATCTGGGAACAGCTGGGATTTTTGGGATCAGCTCCTTTTCCCTCTGATCCACTGCAATTCCCTCTGATCCCACATTTCTTCCATCCAGGCTTTGTTTGCTTCAGGATTTTTTTTCCCCCTAAGGAATTAAGTGTCTGAATTCCTCCAGTTTTCCTTATTCCCAGTTTTTTCCACTCTCCTGGACACACAACCAGAGTTTCCAAAATAATTCTTGGAATGCTTTTATCCCTCCTCAACATTCCCGATGTGTCCGGCCAGGCTCATCCCGAAATCCTTCTTTCATTCCTGCTGCTCCTTTCCAGGTGGGATCTTCCCAAAATCTCCCTGTTTATCCCAGATTTCAGCACCTTGGAATTTCCACATCCGTGGGGAAGTTTTCCCTCTCTGCCATCAGCCAAAGGAACACCAGGAATTCCCAGCAATTCCTGGGATTTCTTTTCCTGCTGCTGCTGGATTTAGGGAATGAAATGAATTATGGGAATTCCCTCCATGGGCATTTCCTGGTGGAATCCAGAGGTTTGGATTTGTCCAGGAACAATTCCAGGTTTCCAGGTGCTTGGAGTCAAATCCCACCCCTGGGAGTGCCCAAGGCCGGGTTGGATGGGGCTGGGAGCAACCTGGGATAGGGAAAGGTGTCCCTGTCCATGGAGAAAAATCCCGGGAATGTTGGGAAGAGATCCTGGGAATTTGGGGGAAAAAGAAACTTTAGGGAAAGGATCTTGGAAACTCTGGGAGAACAGTCCTGGGAATGTTGGGAGAATCATCCTGGGAACGTTGGGGAAACCATCCTGGGAACTTTGGGGAAAAGATCCTGGGAATGTTGGGAGAAGGATCCTGGAAATGCTGTGCAAAAAATCCTGGGAATGTTGGTCAAAGGGTCCCAGAAATGTTGGGAGAAAGATCCCGGGAATGTTTGGGAATCCCTGGGGCTGAGATCCGTGGCCACCAGCAGCTCCAGGTGCCCTCCTCCAGCTCCCACCAGCCTGGGAAAGAGGGGCTGGAAATCCCNGGGTTTGGGAATCGAGGTTTGGGAATGGGGATTTGGAAGAATTGGGTTTGGAAGAATTGGGTTTGGAAAAATTTGGTTTGGAAAAATTTGGTTTGGAAATTGAGGTTTGGAAGTTCAGCAGGAGCTGAGGAATTTTGTTGGAGCGGGGAACGGCTCCTGCTGGTGTCCTTTTCCCAGGGTTTTATGGGAATAAGGAAGGAATTTGGTGGGATTGGGGTTGGAATGATGCTCGTGGAGGGGTTTTCCTGTGTAATTCCCAGTGGGAAGCTGGGCCGGGTTGAGGTGGGATTTGGTGATCCCAGTGCAGAGGGAGAAAGGGTGGGAGCTTCCCAGGAGAATTCCGGGCTCATCCACATTTTCCTTGGGATCTGGAGTGCTCGGCAGGGCTGGAACTTCCTGTTCCCTCTTGTCCTGGGAATTCTCCAGTTCGGGAAACGATTTGGGAATTCTCCAGTCTGGAAAGTACCCTGAGAATCCTCCAGTTTGGGGGAGGACTTGGGAATGCTCGAGTTTGGAAAATGCCATGGGAATTTTCCATTCCAGGAAATGTTGTGGGAATTCTCCGGTTTGGAACATTCCATGGGAATTTTCTGATCTGGGGCGTGCCCTGGAAATTCTGCAGGTTGGAAAGCGCTGTGGAAATTTTCCAGTTTGGGATGTACTGTGGGAATTCTCCAGTTTGGAAAATGTCCTGGGAATTGTCTAGTGTGGGAAATGAGGGAATTCTCTAGTTTGGAAAATGCCCTGGGAATTGTCTAGTGTGGGAAATGAGGGAATTCTCCAGGCCGGGAAGTGCCCTGGGAATTCTGGAGTGTGGGAAATGTGGGAATTCTCCAGCTTGGGAAACGCTTTTTCCCTTTTCCCCTCTGGGCCATTCCAGGCTCCTTCCCCACTTCCCTCTGGAATTTTCCAGGATTAAAATGGAACCGTGGCCTGGAAGCGAGCAGACATTTGCACTCCTCGTGCTTTTCCATGAATATTTATTATCATGGAAGCAGCGAATCCAAACAAACCCCGGAGCGCTGATTGCGCTTCCCTTCCTCCGGCTGCCAGGAATTTTTGGGAGCCTCTGGAGCATCCCCAGGCTGAGAATTCCTCAGGGAGCCTTGGGTGTGTCCCGCTCCCCTCAGGGGAGCATCCAGGCCCCTTTGGAAAACAGGGATCCGTGTTTTCCTTTGGAAAACAGGGATCGGGCTGCTCCGAGCGGCGCTGTCATGGTAACGGATGGGATTCGTTGTGCCGGGAGAAACTCGGTAAACAGACCTGGAATAAAGTCTGGGAAAGGTGTGGGAAGGAATATCCGGAGCTCATTGTGGGAATTGCTCCGAGTTTTTGTTCCTTTGTCGTCTCCTTCCCCTGGATTTTCCCACTGGGAATTGTGAATTCCGGAGGGTGGGATGAGGAAATATTCCATAGAACTGGAAATCTGGGAATGTCCTGGTCCTGGATCCTGGAGTTTGGACTTGGTGGTTCTTCTTCATCACCATCATCGTCACCACCCCCATCATCTCTCCCTTCCCTGTTTTTCCCGTTGGGAATTGCAGATTCCAGAGGGTGGGATGAGGAAATATTCCACAGAACTGGAAATCTGGGAATGTCCNCGATTCCTAGGATTAAAGGCTGAACTCTGGGAATGTTCTCCTGGTGCCCATGGATGGGAGGGTTCTGTGCCTGGACTGAGGGCTGGACTCTGGGAATGGTGTCCGTGGATGGGGTTGTCCCATCTCTGGGATTGATGGCTGGACAGGGCCAGCTCTGCCTCCATCCCAGATTTTCTGGCCTCTCCCGGTGGTTGGGATCTTCCCAAAGGATGGGTGGCTCCGAGGAGAACACTTTGGGATCCTGGATCCAAATCCCAGTTGTGCCTATTCCTGTTTTCCATGTGGAATCCCCTTTCTCCAAGGGGACTTGGAGAAACACTTGGACTGGGAGTCAGGAATCCCAAGCTTTGTGCTTCCCGATCCTTTGGGAGAAGGAGGGATGGAATCCCACTGGAATATCTCCCACGACACCCAGCTGGGGATAGGAAATCCAGGGATGTGTCCTGTGATCCCAATTTATGGATCCAACCCTCCCTTCTGCCTCCATCCTCCTCAGCTGATCCCTGAATCCTGGGATGGACATCCAAAGGAGAGCATCCCAATTTTCCAGAGATTCGGGGCGCTGAGTTCATCCCGAGCCACCACCCAGCTGGAGGAGCCTCCAGATCTGGGATGATCCAAACTTTTCCTGTTGATCCAGAGCCGATTTATCCCATGGGTGTCCAGGTGGAGCTGTGAGCAGCCACACCCATTCCCACAGAATGGATGATTCCCTGGGGATTTTTTTTTTTTGGGGGGAGGATCCCTCCGGCTCCCTCCGCTCCCTGATTCCCGCTTTTCCGCGTTTTCCGGAGCAGGCCTGTCGCTACGGGCACGTGCAGCACCTGGAGCATCTCCTGTTCTACGGAGCCGACATGGCGGCGCAGAACGCCTCAGGAAACACCGCCCTGCACATCTGCGCCCTCTACAACCAGGTGGGACGGGACAGGGACAGGGACGGGGACAGGGAC